CTTTCCCCCATACTTGGCCTCCTGCCCCCAGTTATTTTCTTTCTGGATTCTTCTTTTACCTCATTTATTTAATTAAAAAAATACAACAATGAAAACAAGAGAGGGGTCTTTTATTTAAGTACGTTCAGCATATGGCATATACTACTTAGAAGGGTGAAGTGATTCATAACAAAATAATAACTGTCAGCTCTCTGGACAGTCCTCTAATCTGCTTTGTAGGAAACTTCATAACCATCCCAGTTCTCCTTTGCAGTATGGAGAGCTTGTCCAGGATCTCAGAATTGCTAACTTGCCTCTGACCTGCTATATGTGATTATATGCATCACTAAGTTCATAGCTAACTATGCTCTCTGTCCCAGTTCATGTTAAGGCTGGGAGCTGCTTAAAGGTGTTTACAGACTCATATTCTGGAAATGATAACAGTGCACAAGAAAAGCAGAAATCATAACTGCCCAATGATAATAGCATTGGCTGGACTAGTCCAGTCTCTACTATCTGTCAGGGTTACAAATAAACAGAATAACCACCCCAGAGATATTCTTCCTAATACCCTATATTCTACAAGGGACATGAAGACTTTAATAAACAAGATTATAGCAGAGACCTGCCTACTCTGCTACATGTCCTTCCTAAGTAATCATCTACTCTGACCTTGAAACTGAGACCATCAGCTCTTTTGGGGGGAAGTGATTGTTAAGCAAATGGGGTTTTGCTGATGAGGATGGACAAAAAGGTATCAGAAAAAAGTATCTCATACTCACACAATGAGAAGGTAGAAATGAAAAATTAGTGGAGTAATAGTTTGGGAGTGAAACAGCAAGAAAATGAAAGGTAGCATGAGGGGAATAAAACAGTGAACAGAAAAAACAAGCAGAGACAAACTGCTGATCAGCTTTCGCCCAAAGAAGGAGAATGACTGCCTTGGAAAAAAGGCAGAGCAGCCAAACATTTCCATGTAGCTACTGGGCAGTTCTCAGTAGAGGACTGGGTGGTCCTCTTTGCCCACTGTAAACAGAGGAGGGAGATCATGGTGCAGCAAATGGAAGAGTTTTTACCTTTATTTTATTTTTCTTTTCAGTGCTGGGGTTTGAACTAAGTGTCTCATGCTTGCTAGGCAGGCATTCTATCACTTGAGCCACTCTGCCAGCCCTTTATGGAATAGTTTTTAAAGAGATGGGCAGAACCCAAATTTAAGAACCAATGGAAAGTCCCCGGTTCTTCCCCTTCATTGGTATTGACATTAAACCAAAAATTTCAACACAATCATTGTCATTATGTAAAGAGGTCTTTGCCTTCCAAGGAATAGGAAAGACATGAAATATGGGAAGTGACTCAGTCTAACATGTGAGAACAAGCAGATGCAGGTGGAAGGATTTGAAAGTTATCAGCATAAAGGAAAGAGGCAGGAAAAAATCTGGTGGGATGTTCTATAAACATCCTGAAAACAAGGCATGGTAAGAAGATGGAGAGAGAGAGCAGGGAATAGAGCAAGGTGGATAAGAGCAGTTTAGGGGCAAGGTTGGCTACTCCAAGTAGGCAAAGTAGAAATCCCAAGACCAATCTAAAAGGAGATTGGCTGCTGGGCCACTCTCATGCAAGGACCTGGGAAAGGAATTCTAAAGGTATGGCAGAGAGGCTGATGTTGAATGGAGGATGTAGTAGGAAAGTAATCAGGCTGGATGTGGGTACATCCTAAGACCAAGTACAGGCCCACTCACAGTGACATGCACACCTGTCAAAACTGGCATGTAATCCTACCCCAATCCAGGATCTGGTGGAGTTTCTCCTGAGGAGAATTTATAAATACTTACCTTTCCAGATCAAAGCAGAAAGGCACAACCCGTCTCTCACAACCATAGAGGCCCATATACATTTGGGAGAGCCTCTCTCATGGTTCCCCATTTCACCTGGCCTTTGTCTTTTAGAGTCAGAAAAACAGGCACTGAAGTCACTTTCTGTCTTGAACTCACTTTAAGTACCTATATCTTTAAGGAGTCACTAGAGATCAACACTCCCCCAACCCCCAAACTATTTCCTACTGACTGCTCTGGGGAAGACTGAGTGTCTGTATAAACTGAATATGCATAAGCATAGAGAGCAGCTGGTTCCAAGCTCTACTGGATGCTGGATTTCACAAGACAGCTACCTGCTCTATTGGCTGGCTACCTTGTACACAGAGATTTTGGCGGCTAATCACTTAGAGAAGTTGGTCACTATAAATGATATCCTGGATGAAGAGCTTGAGAGATAAACAAGCATTTCTTCAACTTCTTTAGGGCCAGCCACAGCAATCTGATAATATTTATACATGTGTATTTGAAACTTTTGCCTTCAAAGAAGGTACATGTTCGGTTTATGTCTATAGACCTTACTGGGAGGTTCTGATGATCCTCCCCCTTAGTCCTCTAGAGGGAGCTGAAAGATTTTATTAGCCTCTGACTGAAGCAAATTATGATTAGGGCTGTAAAGCTTCCAAGCATTTCTTTTCCACTTGGCTCTGTAATTGATAATGGAGAATAATGGCAACTAAGTGAATAGGTGGAATTTTTAACTAAAAAGAAAAAAATCAGTCTCAAAACAGCTTACCTATGGTTTGGGAGGCCAAATAGTTATGATCTGGCCTCACTTGCTAATTTAAACAATTCATTTTAAAGTTGCTTTAAAATGGTTTCTGACTGAAGGGAGCAAACACTATCCTGTATTATAATCTCTACTGAGAAAATAAAAGAACTCCCGACTTAGTTTAGAAAAATCACAGCCTGATAGAATAAGGAAAGACAGAAACATGTAAGCCTATCTCAACCCACAGGAATGAGAGCAATTAGATCATGGAAGGGCTTCCACACTTGCTAATTTAGAATGGAAATAGAAAGAAGGAGCAACCTCAAGTTCTCCACTTTTGGCCACTTTCTAGGTCTTGTGGCAGGGGTGGAGGGACTGTGCAGATGAGACAAAGAGGTCTGTGACTGGTGGGTACAGGCTGGCTTTGGGTTCCAGGGTACTCACTGGGAGGTACCAACTTGGGCCTCATTTACATGAGCATTTTGGGTCTTCTTTTTTTCTCTTCCCTTCCTCCCTTCCTTTCTTTTTTGGAGACAGGGCCTTACTCTAGACTGCCCTGGAACTTGCTGTGTAGCATAGGCTAGCTCTGAAGTCAAGATCCCTTGGCTTACACCTCCCAAATGCTGGGATTAGAGGCATGTGACAACATGCCTGGACATAGGCCATTTCTTAATGAGCACAGCTGACAGCTGCTAATAGCAGAGTACAGATGGTAAAACTCAGAGGGTCTCAAAGATAGAGGATCCCCTCCCCCATCTAGACAATCAGGAGCCATGAACATTCACTCATCCAGAACTGTTTGGCAGCTAGGCACCACTGGCTCACGCCTGTAATCCTAGCTACTCAGGAGGCAGAGATCAGGAGGATCATGGTTTGAAGCCACCTCAGGCAAACAGTCTACGAGAGACTACCTTGAAAAAACCTATCACCAAAAAAAAAAAAAGGCTGGCATAGTGGCTCAAGCTATAGCTTGACCCTGAGTTCAAACCCAGTTATCAGAAAAAAACAAAAATAAAAACTGTTTGGCAATAGTAACATTCTGCCCCAAGTGGGAGAGAATACTTCTATACGTTAAGCCAGGTGGACTTGCAAAAACCAGAAGATGGAAAAGTTTAATGGTGTTGGGGTACTATTCTATTACATCAGAAGAATCAACCAGTTATTATTTCATCTCTTGCTACTCTGATTTAACTTGGAAGAATTAAAGCATTTGATGCATAAGCAGACATTGTTTGAAATTCTACGTCAATGTTATCAGTCATAGCTTTGGTATGGTGAGTAGGAAATGCATAGGCAAGGCTTGGTATTCCTCCTTCATTCTGGAACTATAAAAACTAACAGGATTGTGAGGCACAGAATCTGGTTAAAACTATGATCATGTCAGGTCCTAAAAAGCTTCTTCCAGTTAATAATCTACCTTTTTAGGCCACTGGAATAACAGCTGTCTCTCCCAAAGTGCTACACTGCCTATCAGGATGCTTGCTCACAGGAGACTTGGGGATCAGCCTGATGCTGTCCCAGAGTTTCTGTTACCTACCGAAGAAACTCACGTCTCACTAGATGAATACTTGGCATCATATATCCAGTAAAGTAAGATTCTTGAAGAAAGAAAAAAGGCTGAGGAAGTGCTAAGTGATTGTGACCACGTGGCATCATGCATTGCTGGGATCAGATGCTCCAAAATCATATCCAGGTGACTATCTTGAGCAGCTCTAAATCCCCTACAACTCTCAATCTTACCCTTCCACAGCAATAGATTGACTCCTTTGGATAGAATGCTAGCTCTTAGCACCAAAAACTGCCAAGAACAATTGTCCATTAAAGTGGTTAATGGAGGTGATGGTCATTGCAAGTCATAGTGAGAGGACAAAGCAGCAAGCCCTGAAGTGTGTCTAGTGGCATGAGCTTACTCTAGTGGGAGAATGCCAAGTACACTGGAATACTGCAGGGGAAATGGACTGGGACAGAAAATCAATATGTGAATAAATTTTTGTTCTACTGCAGAATGACTCAGTCTGTGCTCCTCCCTGCAAGGGCAGGATAGGGAGGGTACTGGGTGGAAAGCCTCTGACCTTCCTTCCATTTGCCAAGCTCGAAATGGAGGCTCTATAAAGCTAGAGAACTTGTCCTGGCCCTTTTGGAAATCAAACTTCTTGAGGGAAGCTTTGCTTAGAAAACCTTAAAAGTTCCACTAGGGTTTATTGCTGGCAATCAACCAAAGGCAGCATTTGTTCCTAGGCAGCTTATAAAGGGGTCACAATGGATGTACATGAGCTGAGAGAGCCTCAGAATGGTTGAGAAGAGGTGCTCACCTCCTTTTCACAGGCCTTCTTTTCTTGAGAGTATTCAGTTTGTAGTGCTATTTAGAGGGGACAGGCTTATTCTTGGTGGGCATTCTAGAACAGGCACACAAACAGAGAAAGAAAATTTCTTCATACCTTCATCTCCTCCTCCATTTCTGACATTTTCCGCTCTAAGGCTCGCCTCTCCTGTTTGGAAACAATGAGCCTGTTGAATTTGTAACAGATCGAGAAACAGTCACAATACTGCCTCCTACCTGCCATGTGATCAGCAGCTTCATGGTCAAAGGTCTGTCTACTGGCTCAGGAAAGCTTTCTTCAGATGTGAGCACTCTCTGTCCCTACCCCTATGGGATGGAGTCACTTCACTGATCAAAATCACAGTGTTTAAGTCTCTGATCAGAAAATTAGAAGATATAGGGGGAAGCAACTGGCTAACAAGTAAACAAATCAGGATTCTCTGAGTTATTATTTACAAGTTAAAAATTTCAAATGACTACAAGTTACTAGGACTCTTACTCTCTATTAGCAAAAACTCCATCATTATCTTCAATAATACTCCTCCTAAATTCCTAGGGAAGTGCTTCTCCTATGATGGGAAGCAGATGGTGAATAGGGAAGTAGACATCACTGTCTGCAAAAAAAATAGTACCTCTCCCCAACTTCTCTTCTCCCTGACTTCTCCTCCTCCCTCCTTTTCTCTGAGCAACTAACTCTTAATTTAGCCTGAACCCAATGAGGTGTCTTTGATCAGATGAGATACCAAGGAGGATTGGTTACAGGCCAAGGAAATGAAATATAAAACGTAGCTACTCTCTAAATTAACAGACAATGATGGGAGAGATTGGAACATACTATATCCCTAGGGTCAAATCAAAGCTAGAGTTCATCAGTAAATCTAATTGACTTTCCCTATCCAAGAATGTCAAACCCAGAAAAGTATGCCGAGTGTAGTTGGGACAAGGTCAGCAAACGAACCACAAATCCTCCCCTTAGTTAGAGAGTGACCAAAGACTCTGATGGCTCATATCTCAAGTCATAAGACCTAAATCAATGGCAGAAGGTCCTGTCAAAAACTTCCTTTCTGTTCAAGGTCACAGGAAGGGCAAAGAGTCCTTGGACCTATGTGTGTCTGATGAACCAAAATATATTATGTCTCTGTGCATGTGTGTAGTTCGGCCTACAGGCAGAACAATTTATGAGATGATCCTCCAAGGACCCTTCCCACCCTAGGACTGGAATATGTACAAAGAACTGAGTATCTGAGGAAGCCAAAAGGACTAGCAATTCAATTACTGTCCAGAGTCAGCCAGAAAGAATTTATCATCAAGCTGGGAATGGAATGTGGCAGAACTCCCACCTTCTTAAGATGAACAAAAAAGTCAGAGGAGGTCAGAAAGAAGGGATGAAGCAGGGGGGAAAGAAACATATACATACCCGTTTTTCCATCTCTAGCATTGATGATCGGTCAGAGGTTTTCTCTTGTTTCTGCTGTGCATATAGAAGGAAAACACTTGTTACTTAAGCTGTTTCTGGCCCAGTGGAAAGCCGAGTCTTGTCCAGCTTCCCTACTGGACATTCAGAAATAGATGGCAGGGCTTTGGGCTTTCATTTTAGCAGGAGTCTAGGCTAATAGACTCTGACAGATTGCTGGGCCCATCATTACTACCTCTCTGATGTTTTCAGGGCTCCCACTGAAGAGGGAAAGGAAGTAGTCCCTGAAATTTACAACACCCATACACAAAAAGACATGACTCACAATGCATGCACACCTGACTCTGTATTCCTCTCTCTGTCTTCAATACCAACTACTTTCTTACATTACACCACCCCTCTCCCCTCTTCTTTTCTATGAGTCAATCCAGAGGAAATGAGAAATGGCTATTCCTCTTTAAAAGGCTAGAGACCCTTGAACTGGATGTCTAAGCCCCACGATACCCTTTTAAGCAATACTTCTCCCCTATTCTTTGTGTTTTGGGTACTGAGGCCATTTCCCATGTTGGATAGGCTTCTTGGGAGCACAGTCATGGTATCTGCCCTGCTCTGAACACAGCAGTCCCACTTTTGTCTGTTTCATATACTAGACTTCAGTTAAGGTAAGATTTTATTTGAATAAGAGATCTAGAATAAATATTTTAGATGATCTTTGACTTTCCATTTAAATTTTTCAGAAGGGCTAAAAATATTTGGCCACATACCTCAAAAGTAGAATAACCTAAGATAAGGATCTTATCTTAAATAGGGGAATGGGAAGGAACCCCTAAGTCCCTTTTGGTCTTAGCATTATAGAACTGAGTAGACTTTACATTCAATAGAAAATAATAACAGATAATTATTTTTATTTTGCCTAGTGCCATGCCTAGATGTCATCTAATAAACACAGAAATTATGCTGGTCTTCTTGCAGAGGTTTCTTTCTTTCTTTTTTTTTTTTTAAATTAAGGAATAGCCAAAACTAACAATAAAACTTGGAATTCTGGCTCCTGTCCTGGGCTTTCACCTTCTGTTCTGAAGGTCATGGCTATCTGCCTTTACACTGCATCTACTGTGAAGCAGAAGAAAAGGAAAAATGCATTAATAGATCCTATAGTTTGTTTAAATCCTCTTAAGTCTTTCCTGAGAAACTGGAGAAGCTGTGAAAATTTCACTATTTTCAAAGTTCAGTTTACAAAAAACTAGTTTGCTTGTTTTATTTAAAATTATAACTCCTTTAGAGTTTGGGTGGATCTTTTATACAAAAACTCTGCTGTGTCCATATGGTAACTATCTCTCTACAAATGTGTGAGGCTGACAAGCCCCCCCACCCTCACTGTCCTACCAAACAACTCCATTTTTGGTAAATACAGACTTGGTTTGCAGTGCTACCATTTCTTCTGAATTTCAATAACTTGTATTTGGCAAAACTAAGCATATTCTGACACACCCAGCAAAGCAGCTGGCTGGAGGGTAGATGCGGCTCCCCAGTGACTGGGAAAGGCTGATTTTGTTTCTAATGCCCTCTGTGTACGTCAGTGCCTGCAGCTTGTTGGGTTGTTCGCTGCTATGAAAAACAGGCTGGTGGAAAAGCAAGAACACTTAAAGGTTAAGAAATAAGCTGTCAGAAGCTTCTGCTGAGGAGACGGGCACCAGGTGAATCTGGGTTCTTTCTGTGGCTCCTCACAGGACTGCTTCTTAATTTTCTGCGAAACAGCACTGTAATCACATGAATACAAACATAAGGCCTGTATCTATTAACTGTTACTAATATGCAGCACTATTCAGAATAAAAAATCAGTTGATAACTTCTAGGGCCCACTGTGAATAAGACATTTTGCCTGGCTCAGTAATATTGAGGGGAAAAAAGAATTTAAATCTCATTTAGCCCACCATCCTCTGTATTATGGCAGGATTATAATTGTGTTATGGGGGGGCTTGTGTGTTGTGTGTGTATGTGTGTGTTACCTTTTGATTTAAAGACCTACTTTTCTTGCTCCATAAAATCTCTTTAGGTCCAGGTGTTATCTATCTGCTACACAGTCTCAGAAATTCATCATGTTTGGCTACTATCACAGGCAGAAGGGGGGGGCCTCTTCTAAACTGACAGGCAGCTCTCAGGATAGGCCATCCATTTTGGGCCTGCCTAAGCCCTTCTCTGGGAAGTGTGGGCATCCTGGCTGTCTTTCCGGGATATCATGCAGTTCTTGGCACTCTCTTCTATGTGCTGGCACCCCCTTGCTCATCTCATGCCAGAGGGGCTGCACAAGATGTACAGGGGGTACTCTACACCTCTGCCCCCATCAGACCCCATCTGCCTGGGACCTACAACAAACTTACATTTAGTCTTTGCTTTTGGATTATATTCCAAACCAAAAAAGATGCCATTTCTGGTTTTCTTTTCATCCTGTCCTTGTAAAGAGACATTTTTACCTCAGTTCAGCTTTTGAAATTCTTATTTCCCAAGCTTTTCAGGAGAGCAATAACTCAATAGGTTTCCTGTTAACTCTGCAATAAGCTCAGACAGTGCTGCTTTAGCTTTCAACTGCAGGGCTTGTTTCACTGGTGATGAGGTCATTACCTCCAGCACCCTCTTCTCAAGCATCATCCAATTAAATTAGGTGGGGCAGTGACAGGAAGTAGTTTATCTGGTCTTCTTGTCACTAGTTTCTTCCACTCTACCTCATTCCTAGGTAGAGTGGTGCTAGGGAGACAACATCTATTCCAAGACAGAATCTTTGCTTTGTGACCTAATCCTGGGTTCTAGCATCACCTAAGCAAACCACTTATGCTTTCTAGGCCCTATTTACTACCCCTCTGCACTAGTTATATATAGTGTCGTTTGTCACTCTTTAAAAGGTGGTGTGGAGTGCTGGGCACCAGTGGCTCACACCTTTAATCCTAGTTATTCAGGAGACAAAGATCAGGAGGATTACAGTTCGAAGCCAGCCCATGCAAATAGTTCACAAGACCCTAGCTCGAAAAACCCTTCACAAAAATAGGGTTGGTGGAGTGGCTCAAGGTGTAGGCCCTGAGTTCAAGCCCAACAACAAAAAGTGGTGTGGAGAAGAAATGAACTGAAATATAACCAAGACAGGAGAAACTGTCTAGGACTGACCTTGTAGCACCAGTTTATACTTTTCTACCAAGAAATGAGTAGATAATATTAATTATTAGCATTCATACCATTAGAAGTTGTTCACTGTACTATCAGTTTTCAATTTTCAGTTAAACACTGAACTCTAACATCAAATTAAATTAAAAAGGCTTCCATCTCACTGCTTCTGAGGAACAAAATCTTGACTCTACCTACATTGTGTCCCTCAGCTCTCTAGTCCAGTTTGCCCCCTTATTTTGACCCCTGTCTCCCCAGCTTTTTTCTTTTTCCTCCCCTCACCTGGGCCATCTTCTCAAGCTTGGATTTTATATCCGATAGCTCTAGCTGGGCCTCCTGAAGTTTTGTTTTCAGTTTTTGGTTTTCGGTCAGGGCACTCTCGTAGAGCTGTGAGGGAAAGCAGAATGATCACTGGGCCACTGCTCCCAGAAGTAGAACTCACACGTTTTCATCTTGTGAGAATGCCTGGGCACTCTGCCCCAAGCCACCACTGGGAGCAAAGTGGAGAGGATGAAGGAAGCTAGGAAATAAGGCATATCTAGCCCCTGCTCTTTGGCTTCTTGAAAGCATGATCCCAGGTGCTGAACACAAAGAGAATAACGGTGCTCTAACTTCAATAATGTTAATCTCTGAGAGGAAAACAAATCCCAGACATCCACTTTCTCTTATAAGCATTTGTACTGCTTGAAAGTGTGGCTCTCTGTACAAAACACAATTATTGTTTTGGAACCAGTCTAGTGTGTGATATTGATTTTCATCAAATTCTGCTTAACAAAAATATCAACAAAGATAAAACTTCCTAATTAAGATGTTTTTTTCCTGTATCTCAAGCACCTTTTAAAAGTGAAAGTTTTCAAGGTCCAGATAGCAAGAACTAAAAGAAATGGACTACAAAGTGATTTAAATCCTCTCTAAGCCTAAATAGATAATAATGATGATTTTTAAAATATTTAACTCCAAGAATTATTTAGCTGATATTCTACAGGACCTTATTAAAAGCACATTAAAAATAACAGTCTACCAAATGATTCTCAGAGGCTCAGACAGAGGACACTGTAACTTTTACTCTTGTGACAATTCTTAATCTCTTACTTTTTCCTATACTTCTAAATACCTGATTCAAGGCATATACTTACTGCAATAAAAACTGTATGCAAACAGGTCTTTATTTAGTGGGTGGAGAGGTGAAATAACCAAGAAGTCTGCAAGTACCTAGTTGTTACTTAAATGCCTTTTTTCCCTGCTTATTTAGAATTATCATTTTTATATATTGAGGGAACAGGCTGAGAGGTTTATATATTATAAACCAAGAACAGGAAAACTGGAAAAAAAAAACAAAACAAAACCCAAAAAACCCTACTTTTTTATAGTCCCTGTTACTGTCCTCTTCCACCCGGCTGGTCAGGCTGGCTAGTCGGGCCTCCCGGGCCTCCCGACGGGCTCTTGCTGAGGCTCGGTCACCGTAAGAATCACTGGTTGTCGTATTACTACCTCCTGATTCCAACCTGTGAGAGATAGTGATAAAGGTAAAAATTGGTTTTGAGAACAAAATAGTGTGGAAAAGGTAAAGCTTATGGGTAGTTTGTGACTTTCCTAAGAAATGTTTGAGAGTTCTGGTCAGAATCAATGCACATACAACATTCCTTCCTGGAATCTCTCAGCCAACATTCCTGGATCTCATGGGTACATTGTATGAGTGTGGAGCTTGAGGAGGAAGGCCATTATTTGTCAAGAATAGAGCTTAAATTGGTGGTTTGGACCCATATGCTGACTTAAATCTTAAGAGATTTTTAAATTAGTTTGGAGTTGAACAGCTTCCCAAAAGAGTGTGCTTTTAATTGAAAGTTTCTTGAATCTCAATGGCTCTTAGAAAATGATCACAATGAATTGTCAATGAGTCAGAAACATGGATTTGGAGACTGAACTAGAGGATGAATGGGGGAGGAATGGCAAGCTATACTTTATTATTTTTATTTTAGTTTATTATTTTGGTGGGACTGGGGTTTGAACTCACAATTTATGCTTTATTGGTGCACTGCAGGTGTGTTGGAGTCCCAAATGTTCCAGGGATACCACCCTGGTATTCAAACAGCTCGCTTTCTACCATCTTCCCTGTATTTCATATCAAGATTTATGTCTGTAGTTAGGATTTCTGCATCTTCTATTAACAGAACTCTTAGAGTGGTGGTGTTTTTATTTCTGGTATTGTTAACTGTGTTAGGGGAAGGGTTTCTCAGCTTATTACCTGTTTAAAGTGTACGACTATCATTTTGACCCTTAACACTAGCTTTTCACTTTGCAAATTAAAATGTGGTACATATTGAAAGTACTAACAATAAACCAGCTCTGAACTGGGATGGTTTGAAGCATCACAGCTGTGGAAGTTGCATCTGATGCCAAAGCTGTGGATAGGAAACTGAAATAAGTATTAGAAGAGCAGTAAGGATGAGATCAGAGAGGGGAGAGGCAAAGAAATGAACTCCTAAGGACACCAATGGCCACTTTGATAGAGATGAAGTCTGTCTTCCTTTTCCTTCTCCTCTTCTCTTCTCTCATCTTCCTTCTTCCCTTCCTTCCTTTTTGTTCATAGAAATGTATATATTGATTTTTTCTGCCCAAGAAAAAAACACTATTAACAGTTTAGTTCAGGGCTTGGTGTGTGGCTCTGTACCTAGCAAGCACAAGGCCCTGAGTTCAAAGACCCAGTACTGAAACAAACAAACAAGTAAATAAATAAAAAGTTTAGTTCATGTTCTTGCAGGATGTCAAACACAAAAATATGCCAATATATATATATTTCTATAAATAAAATCAGATAATACCTATGTTGTCCTACTCCTCTTCCTTTCTATACTTATCACTATGATTATGAGCATTATAAAATGTAAGTAAAGATAAATCTGCCTCATTAAAAGACTGTATAGTCCATTCCATGCATGTATAATAATTCAACTAAACCTCAATTGATAGACACATATTGCTTCAAGATTTTCAGCTATTATAAACAATGTTACAATGAGCAGTCTTGCCTATAAATCTTGGTAGAAGTGTCCAATTACTTTCTTTTTTTTTCTTTTATTATTCATATGTGCATACAAGGTTTGGGTCATTTCTCCCCCCTGCCCCCACCCCCTCCCTTACCACCCACTCCGCCCCTCTCCCCCCCACCCCCTCAATACCCAGCAGAAACTATTTTGCCCTTATTTCTAATTTTGTTGTAGAGAGAGTATAAGCAATAATAGGAAGGAACAAGGGTTTTTGCTGGTTGAGATAAGGATAGCTATACAGGGCATTGACTCACATTGATTTCCTGTGCGTGTGTGTTACCTTCTAGGTTAATTCTTTTTGATCTCACCTTTTCTGTAGTTCCTGGTCCCCTTTTCCTATTGGCCTCAGTTGCTTCTAAGGTATCTGCTTTAGTTTCTCTGCGTTAAGGGCAACAAATGCTAGCTAAGTTTTTAGGTGTCTTACCTATCCTTACCCCTCCCTTGTGTGCTAAAGCTTTTATCATGTGCTCAAAGTCCAATCCCCTTGTTGTGTTTGCCCTTGATCTAATATCCACATATGAGGGAGAACATATGATTTTTGGTCTTTTGGGCCAGGCTAACCTCACTCAGAATGATGTTCTTCAATTCCATCCATTTACCAGCGAATGATAACATTTCGTTCTTCTTCATGGCTGCATAAAATTCCATTGTATGTAGATAGCACATTTTCTTAATCCATTCGTCAGTGGTGGGGCATCTTGGCTGTTTCCATAACTTGGCTATTGTGAATAGTGCCGCAATAAACATGGGTGTGCAGGTGCCTCTGGAGTAACCTGTGTCACAGTCTTTTGGGTATATCCCCAAGAGTGGTATTGCTGGATCAAATGGTAGATCAATGTCTAGCTTTTTAAGTAGCCTCCAAATTTTTTTCCAGAGTGGTTGTACTAGTTTACATTCCTACCACCAGTGTAAGAGGGTTCCTTTTTCCCCGCATCCTCGCCAACACCTGTTGTTGGTGGTGTTGCTGATGATGGCTATGGGTGAGGTGGAATCTTAGCGTGGTTTTACTCTGCATTTCCTTTATTGCTAGAGGTGGTGAGCATTTTTTCATGTATTTTTTGGCCATTTGAATTTCTTCTTTTGAGAAAGTTCTGTTTAGTTCACTTGCCCATTTCTTTATTGGTTCATTAGTTTTGGGAGAATTTAGTTTTTTAAGTTCCCTATATATTCTGGTTATCAGTCCTTTGTCTGATGTATAGTTGGCAAATATTTTCTCCCACTCTGTGGGTGTTCTCTTCAGTTTAGAGACCATTTCTTTTGATGAACAGAAGCTTTTTAGCTTTATGAGGTCCCTCCAATTACTTTCATAGGGAAAATCTTAGAAGTGTAATTATCTGGTCAAGGGCTAAATAAACATATTTAGTCCACAAATATTATACATTATATGTATTATATATTAGTCAGGATTATATATATATATATATATATATGTCCACAGAGGTTTAATCCTTTTCAATCCAATAGGAGAAATACATTATTCTCATTAACTTTAATGTTTTTATTCTTTTTTAGGGGGCAGGACTGGGATTTGAACTCAGGGCCTCACACTTGCTAGGCAGGCACTCTAAACTTAAATGTTTTTAAATCACTAGGGAGGTTCGATGTCTTTTGGTTATTCATCCTATTTGTTTCTGAGTTATCTGTTTGTAGCCTTTGTTTAGCAGGGTGATCATTTTTTTCTTATTATAGTGGAGGATGTTCCTGCATACAATTGTCTAACATAGCTTACAGGTATTTTTTCTGACTTCACTTTTTTTTTTTGTGGTACTGGGGTTGAACTCAGGGCCTTAGGCTTATAAGGCAGGCACTCTACCTACCACTTGAGTCATACCTCCAGCCTTTTTTGTTTTGGTTATTTTTGAGATAGGGTCTTACTTTATGCCAGGGCTGGTCTGGACTGTGATCCTCCTATTTACATTTTCTGCATAGCTGAGATGACAGGTGTATACCACTACATCCAGCTTTTATTGGTTGAGATGGGGTCACATGGACATTTTGCCAGAGCTGGCCTTGAGCCACAGTTCTTCCGATCTCTGCCTACTGAGTAGCTAGGAATGCAGGCTTTAGTCAGGATGGCCTGTGTCCACTTCATTTTTTGTCTCTGTTTACAGTGTCTTTTAATAGAAATTTAAAAATTCTTGTAATTAAATTAGACAATTTTTACCTTTATGGTAAAATGCTTAGGGAAACTATTCCTGTTATAAAGATTATAAAATATTTTCTTCTATAAGTTTTGTGGGAAAGACCTTTTCCTTAAGAAAAACTGTAATCCATTTGGAATCTGTTTCTGTTGCTTTCTTAGTAAAGCCTGAGGGAATGATATATTCCTCCCCCCACCCATCACTTATTTAATAATTCTTTCCCCCCTCAGATGAATAGTCATATTATATACTTTAACACTTTTGGGGATATGAACTGTGTTCCATCAATCTCTTTGTTTATTCTTGAATTGGCACCTCACTGTTTTAATCACTAAACTTTACAGCATATTCTGAAGTTTGCGGAGAAACTCTCCTTTCATAAATGGCATTGTAATCCAACAGAATTCATAAAAGATTAGCTATAGCAAGATAACTCTCTCTGTCAAATTTTGCAAAACTAAGTAGCTTTCTTCTAAATTAGGAAATTGTTTATGCTCAGCTGGTGCCTGGTGAAAGGACAAGAAGAGGAAGAATACATCTAAAACAGCATGTATTAACAAGGTAAAACCAGTTCAATTACCAAGAAAGTTATGAAGAGACTAGTTTTCCCTTTGTTGTCAGTAGTATAGGGGTTTGAACTCAGGGCTTCATGCTACTAAGCAGGTGTTCTACAGCTTGAGCCATACCTCCAGCCCCAATCTCTTCTTAATTTCTCTACCAAAGGTATAGTGGAAAACGAGAGATTCAAATGTTTAGCTTTTATTTTTTATTTACTTTGTTCTTCAGAAATATCAGTTTTGTATCCTCAGATACTAGGTGAAAATTTACATAAGATCATCCCCAAATTGGTATCTTTTTTTTTTTGGTGGTACTAGGGTTTGAACTCAAGACCTCATGCTTGCTAGGCAGGTGCTCTATCATTTGAGCTACTCCGCCAGCCCTGTGGTACATTTTCTTAATTTTTTAGCCATTGCAAAACAGATCTTTAGTTTATTCGAAAAACTGTTACTGAGTACCATTTAGATCCAAGGTAAAGTGTTAGATTCACCATAAAATGACAGTATCTAACCTCACTCTCAATCCACTGCAATGAAGCCTTCTTGAACCACCTGATTAGGTTAACTGACTCTTCTCTGTGTCATTATACCTGTTCTTACTTCTAAGTGGCACTTACTACATTCTACAGAAAGGATCTGTCTCTCCAGTGGTTTGCAAGCTAATTGCTAGTAAGCATAGTATCTTATTCATGGTATCTCCCTAGTGGTGAGCACAGTGCCTAGTACTGGTGCTTCAGGAAAACTAATCTAGTGGAAGTATACAAGATGATCTGGAAAGAGGAGAATCTGGGGTCAGGAAGGTGAGTTGAAAGCTGTTCCATTATTTTGGGCAGAAGATAATATAAGTCTAAATTACTGTGGAAATGAAAAGGAAGAAAAGGATTCAAGGAACAAAACTAAACAATTACATAAAGCTAAATTTAATTAGACATGCATTCACTCACAAGTATTAAGCATGCATACATACAAAACAGGGAGAATTCTTACCTAGAAAGTCTTTCATGCTAGAGAAAGGAGACAAAAATAAAAAAGAAAAAGAAAACAGCATTAATAAGGGACCAATTTTTATTTCCATTCATAAATGCACTTTTCAAATCAGATGTCTGAACTTCACAGCTGGAGATGGAGCATTCAACTGACTGCATAAAAGACTTCTTAGCACTAACTCATGCTTTTTTGTATCCATGATTTGCCAGATTTGGGACTTTGAAAATAACATCTTTTTAAAAAGAAAAATAACAAAAACTGCCCCCCTCCAATCAGCCAGCCAACCTTGTGCTCTAGGAGTGACTCACTGATTTTTCTGTATGACAATGAGCCTTTCTAAATCATGATATTTAGCCTATTAATTTTCTTCAGTTCACAACCCTGCAAACCTTCCCTGAGTAAATACTGCAATTTATACAAATTAAAACTCAGGAGAGTTAAGCTTTCCCCAGATCTATAGTAAAGGCAGGAAAGTGAGGAGTTGGGGAAGTGAGGCAGGGAAAATCCCATCCTAGTTCTTAGGATGTTGGTAAGAAATTAAAAGATAAGAAGTACTTAGAGGTCACAGTAGAAAGAAGTTTCATAGATGCAAACTATGAGCTTTGTCATTGTAAACAAAGCAATAACAAAAAGTGATTATGTGTGCCCTTTTCATTTATTTATTTATTTTTATCATAGATGACCTTTACTCTCTTATCCCTTCATTAAAAAAATAATATGGGCAAATAAATAATTGATTTGGATATATTTATTTCCTTCCTCCTTCCTTCTTTCTCTCCTCTTGAGGTGTTAAAGAAGAGCAAAACCTTCAAGAACAGACAACAGAAGAAAGAAGATGGAGGGGTGGTTCAAGTTGTAGAGTGCCTGCCTTGCAAGAGCGAAGCCCTGAGTTCAAATCCAGTACTGTCCAAAAAAAAAAAAAAAGAGAGAAGAGAAGCAGGATGGAGGGACCAGTAATCTTCAAAATAAATCATGAATCTATGAAGTACTGAGGAGTTCTAAATAATCCCTGGAAGCCACTGGTTTGTCAAGCAACACAGCATGATAGCCTTATAGCTGTCCAGGAGAAGTGAGTTGTGACAGCACACCTATCAGGTAGTGTTCCCTCATGTAACTCCTATTTAAATCAGGGATGCAGTCATCAGAATGATCTCATACCCTGTACACCTCCTAACCCAAATCCTGGAGGTTCTCTTTTAGTAGGTCTCTTGTACATATTTTTAACAAGTTCCCCAGGTGATTCTGTGGTACAGCCCTGGTTAAGAACCACTGGACTAAACACATTTTTGTTTAATATGGAGACGTGCCCCATTTCAGATGAGGAAATCATTAAGAATATTTTTTTTCAAAAAGAAACTAAATTTTCACTACCCCTCAATAATTACTTAATATATAAAAATGTTCGAAGAGTATTTGAGTGAAACTAAGAAGCTGGGCTGTTGACTATGCCCACTGACTAGCTCTGTGATACGATCAGCCTTAAGGCACGTGGGTGAGTTAAAATTCACAGCACAGGAAAAGTGAATTGTGGCACGTTAAATACTTATAAACGGTTGAGACTGAACTTTATACTGGCAAATGTCAAGAGGCTGTTGTATTTAAGAGCCCACTGTATGCACAGCCTTGTTGGGAGGTGCAGAGGAAGAAAAGCCCAACTAGCTGCATGACAAGCCAGGAGAGCACTGTGAACGTAATTAATGAGCTTGGGAGCAGTGGAGGGAGAACATGTGAACAAGTTCTACAGAGACAGGTAGTAACCCCTGAGCTGCAATTAAGAGGATTTCATGAAGAAATGAGTTCTGAGAAGACGATGTTAGAGAAATGCATACATAACACATATATGTTTAAAAATACTATTGTAGAGAGTTCTCTGAAATTTCCTTAACTGAGATCCATCCACTATCTTATTCCCAGTTAGTGCCCACAGGGCCAGGCATGGCAGGTGCTCAATAAACTAAGCTGAATTGAATTGTTTCTGTGTTTAAAGTGTGATGGCCTTGGCTCTCTGACTTCTAATTTCCACTCTGACATTTGCTAGCCATGAGACCTTGGGCAAGTTGGCACTTACTCTAAATGAGTAAATGAGATAATTATGAGGAAATACACTCCTAAAATATCAGTGCCCTACTCTCTTTCTCTTCATATTTTAGTTATAAACATACTATATTGGCTGTTGATGCTGGTTATTGTAGTAAGTGAATTTAGGACCTTTGATCCAGGAAATTGAGCTCACATGCAACCAAATGAAACAATAATTTAGGAGACCATTCATTTCTCTCACTGCTTTTGGGTAGAACACCTTTAGACAACATCATCCATATGAGAGAGCCATTCTAACAGTCTCTCCAAAGACTTTTCCCACATCCTCTCTTAGGTATGAAGAAAAGACCCATTTATGCTATATGATATATATTATTGTGTGTGTGTGTGTATTTTTTTCCCCAATATTGGGATTTGAACTCAGGGCCTCATACTTGCTAGACAGGTGCTCCACCACTTCTGCCACAATTCTAAAATGATTCATTTATAATCAAACTAGTTTGCTGTGGGTTTTCTTTTTCTTTATCCTACTGAAATAGAAACCCATTTCTACATGGTATGCACAGACTGAGGCCTGATGAACTTTCTAACAATTGAATCAGGTGTGTTTATTGGCTTTGTTTTTCCTGGGCCATCACTTAACTCTTTTTCACCCTAGTTTCTTCTTTGTAAATGTGCTATTTCTCAGATAAGATTTAACTACATCTTCATCTTTAAATTCTGTGGTATAGACTCTGGCAGCAATCTCCAGAGTAAAGAAACAAGTGTTTCTCCCCACTAAAACAGGGAAATTAGCATTTTTACTAGGTATAAATCTTAATATGCTAATCATTTCCATTGATTTAGTTCAATAAGGATAATATATAGGCTGGGAGCATGGCTCAAGCACCTACCTAACAAATGAAGGCCCTGTGTTCAAACCCCAGTAGCAAAAAAAAAAAAAAGACATATAATTAACCTTTTTCATTTAGAACATGCTAGAAGTATAATAAGACTCTTTATGTCTTGTTTATCACACCTGAAAGTGTGATAAAGTGAGAAAGTTCTCAGACAGATACGTGACTGAATCGTATGGCTGTATATACTTATAGCCTCCACTGAGGAGGCTGATGTAAAATGCAAATGCTTACAAACTGAGAAACAGAAAAAAAATAACTTAGCATTATCAAGCAGCAATCAGAGAAAGCCCACAGGGTCCCTAGATGTGAAAAGGCAGATTCCAAAGGGGCTTAAATTACTTTTTTCACAGATGAGAGCATGTGAGAAAGGTAATGCTAATGGTGCTCAGACTTGTGATGGCCATACCAGTTCTTCCCCTACAGGTTTCCTGCAGGTATTTCCTATAGACAGCCATCTAAGAAGCTAGTGAATGACACTCCTACTTCTGCCCACCAAGAATAACTAAAAGCAAGTATCACAGTCTGTAATCTTCTGTTAGGCATGTCAAAATTCCATTATCAATTTCTTTTTGGGTAACCTTTTATAAAATGTGCAGGGGATGCATGATCCAATAGATGAGGCAACAGACAATTCACCTAGATCCAGATAGTAGGGGAAACAGCAATTCCAGGTTAACCTTCACTCTTTCTTTACCACCTCTAACATTCCCCTTCAGCTTTTACCCAATTTTGAATTTATGTGGAATACTTGCTTTCAAGGGCAAGCCTTAGCAATGTCCTTCCTCAAAAGGTTAACCCAACCGATTAGAGGTGAATACATAAAACTCCTAAAACTCCAAAGATTAGTGAGATTTGGATGCAGTAGAAGTTAACATAACTATCTCAATATAAATAATATCTCAAAAAAGGAGGAAAATGGGATTTCTAAAGGAGATGATATTCTCATGGGAAAAGAAATGGTTTCTTTTAAGTTTATAGCCTAAAAAGATTATTCTTATGGGCTGGAAGGTAAGATGGCTTAAAAGTATACATAGTTTAGTGTTTAATTCCTCAGTTTTTGATAACATGGCTTGGGTTTTTAGGTCACACTTCCTAACGCATTTTCACTGGTAGAATACCTGTAGAAACTGTTTTGCTTGGCTTCTTGATATCTAGATAACTGGAGAGAGGTTGATGAAAAAATATTGATTAGAACTAGGGAGAAAGAAGTTTGGGTTTCTTGGGTAAGGAGCAGACTGGCTGAACTGGTGCAGGAGACTTAACCTCAATTTTTTTCTCTTCATTTTGCGGTCCCTTTTACTAAGCATATTTCAACTATTAGGCATGGCTTCTCTTTTTAGAAATCTGACTACTAATCCTACAGGGAGAATACTGAGCAAATGTAGAGATAAGATGGAGTGGTAGTTTGCCTAAATGGTCTCAGGAGGACAGTGAGCCAGGAAGTAACATCAGAAGAGGCAAGCAGAATACATGCTAGGGAAATGAACACTGATGTTCTCCCAGAGAAGATAATATGAAGAGTTCAGTCTAGAAGGCAGGAAATAAGGAGAAGGCCTAGACAACAGGGCAAAGGCATCTTCCAAGTCTCTGTCCCTTTGAAGGCTGGGAATGTGGGCTCCTCTTACCTATGTCTCCACTCTCCCTCCTCTGCATGTTTTCTCTTTCAAAAAACAGAACAGAGAAGCTGGTTGCTAGTGGCTCTGTAATCTTAACTACTTGGGAGGTGAGACAGGGAGGATCATAGTTCGAGGCCAGCCCAGGGAAATAGTTTGTAAGACTCCATCTCCAAAAATAACCAGAGCAAAATGGATGGGAGGTGTGGCTCAAGTGAGAAATCCCAAGTTCAAACCCCAATCCCATCACAAAAAAACCAAAACAAAGAAAACACAAAAAACCCATCCCCCCAACAAAAAAACAAACAAACAAACAAAAGATAGAACAGGGGCTGGAAATGAGACTCAAGTAGTAAAGCGCCTGCCTCATAAGTATAAAGCCCTGAGTTCAAACCTCAGTACTGCAAAACAAAGAAAAACAACAGAAAATAGAACAGCTACTCTTAGTCTACTCTTTAGGATCTG